TTAGCCACATATTAAATTGTGCTATGCGCTGGCCTTTTCCATTTTGCTCCTTATACACTGGTAAAACCTCTGAGAAAGTAAGCCTACAGCCTATTCTGCTAAGTTCCTTCCCCAAGCTCTGGAAATCATTCTGCACAGAGAGTACATCTTTTTGGGACAGATCGTTAGTGCCAAGATGTACAATAGCCTCCACATCACATATGCTTATATTCTCAGTAGCACAGTGCTTGTGCTTATCAGATGGTTACTGAGCATTAATTCATTTTAGAATCATCACCAATCTAATGTATCACATGTACAAATAGGATTTCAGAGGAGCTCTTGTCCAAATTATCAACAAATGTATATATTTGAGAAAATGCTCTCCTTGACAACCAAATGTCACTTAAATTCAAATTTGTTACAGTATTTTCACAATTTGTATCATTATGCAATGCTGTAAATATACATGAATCATCTGGACTGCTTTTGATATAGTGCACTTATTTATTTTTTTGGGTTTAAAGTCCAGATGCAAAGTTTGCATATTGTATGTAGAACCTGTTAAATGGATGTCTACTAACCTGAAGTTTTAGTGTATCAGTTCTATAACTGTAGCTATGTAGACATAGCTGGCTAATTGGAAAAAGGGCATATTTATCAGAAGACAAAGAAAACAACAATATTATAACTTCTTTTTGTAGATAGCATTGTTGTATCACAATTCATCTAACCATTAATCATGAACCTTGCCAAATGGGAAGGAAATATGAATTTTCAGATACTATTTAATTGTAATATTGTTATTTAGCAACAACCCTTACTATTTTTCAGGCAAATCAAGGCTGCTGCTGATCGTCAGTTAGCATCATCTGGAGGGCTACATGTTTGCTACCCCCTTCCTTTGTCATTTCAAAAGCATTGCATTACTCTATAAAATGTAATGGAAAGAACAGTACCCATTATAAAATGATTTGCTGGAATATTCCGTTCCTTTAAATAATGTTCTAATGCTAGGTTGCTGTCCCAAATTCCAGAACTGCCCGCTAAGGGTCCTAGAATACTATGAAATAAAAACAGTTATTTTTAAGAGAAAATTTTTAAAAAATCCTTTTTGTTAAATATAATTTCATTTGCATGAAGTTCTACTTCTTAGCAAAAATAAGTTAACAATACAAAAATAATAATTATTAGTATGAAATTTGTATATCTTTATTGTGAGTTGATCAACCATACAATTTATCATAAAACCATAAAACAATGCAATGTCACAGTATGGAAAGTGACAAAGAGTTCTAATATAATGGCTCAGAATGACTCAGAGAATGATCCTTTATGAAAGAGAATTTTTTAAAGATTATTTCTTAATAAAGTTATTTTTTCTACAATATTTAAATATTCTACAATATTTAAACTGAAGGCCATAGAAAAAGAACAAATTACAAGCTCAAGAACAAGCCAAATATAAGTAGAAAATGGGTTTTGGAATTCTTTCAAAAATAGCTCAGGTGGATGGTATGGAAAAGAAAAATAGGCTATTACTTGAAGAGGAAAAAGTGAGTTTATGATATTTATTTATTAATGAAATTTACATGGCCTCCCATCTCATAAAAAGTGGCTCTGGGCAGTATATAACAAGTATTGGAACTAGGGCAGGATGTCACAAAAACTCCAAAATGCAAGTGGCTGGAAAGATATGAAAGAAACTCATTTAATGATATAAGATTTACAAATTAATAAGCTGCAAGCATAACATGTAGAGTAGACTTTCTGGAAAACTCTGATTAGATGTATATCAACTCAGGGAAAAGTAGTCCTGTACTTTAGTGTTCCCCAATCTTTGCGGCTTGGAGGCCCGGTTAGGCGGGAGAGGGGAACTGGGCTACATGAGCGGCAGATGGGCACCCACGTGCATGCACATGCAGCTCAAATGCAAGTTGAGCTGTGCACCCATGTGTGTGCATGCCAGCCCACGCCCCAGTTTCAAATAGGCTGTGGCCCGGTAGTGGGCCACGGCCCGGGGGTTAAGAACCCTTGTTGTAAATAACCTGGTCCCATGCCATGTAGGGGTTTTCAAGATGATAACTAGCATCTTGAATTCTACCAGAAGGAAACACTGCAGCTTGTACAATAGAAATGTAACGTACACACCAGTGTGTTTTGGATTATTTATAGCTTCGGAATGATCTTCAAGAACAGCCTAATGTAAAGCGTATTGCAGTAACCCAAAGCTGAATTGACAAGGCTCAAGTGACTGTGAGGAAAGCTCCCTATCTAGAAAAGGTTGCAATTGATGAGCAAGTCAAATCTGTATAAAGGCCAACTTAGCCCTCCCCATGCCCCAACTCTCCCCTGGGCACAGGAGAAGCTACATATTCCAAATGGCTGGGTGGCAGCACTCCAGGTCCACTCCTGTCTCTCATATGAGGGAAGCAGAAAAGATCCAGCTACACCCAGCCCCCACTCCAATTACCAGAATATATAAAGGAGCCCAGATCATGCAAATGTCCTTAATCCAGGTGCTTGCCAGCCACCAAGATAACCATCCTGCATCTCTGCCTTGGGATCTCCACTACCACATTAATCACAGGAAGTTTCAGTCCAGAATTGTCCAAGATAGGCAACACAACCCATCAAAATGGCTGCTATATCTTATGGCTGCTTGAGCAGCAGCTGCCAAATACAACGCACCTGCCCTTCTCCCCAGGTATGCTGCCTTTCCATGCACCCAGTACAGCAAACAGCCCGACCATTGAAGGCTCCAATGGCCAAGATCCTGTAACCACCGTCAGTTCCTTGTTCTGTGCCAGCCCAATGTCTCTGTTTTCTCTGCAGCAGCAGACTCAAGATGGAGGATAGGAGTCCAAGCCACTAGTCCACTGCTACTTATTCCACTCACCCTCTGAAGCCCATTCCATGTCACTCATCAGCTGGAACAGACAGATGACTGGTAGCATCACCAAGCTCTGCTGACTTCCAACCATTCTCCAAGGAACCCCCACAATAAAAGGCTACCAGCCAACATAGTTTTACTTAGCTCCAACCAGGGGGGATGCTGATGGAGGCTCCACTGGGCCTTTCCAGCCATTTGGTACACTGCCACTTCACTAGTTAACTGTGTTGCTGCTATTCCTGTTCCTCCTCCTGCAGCCCAAATAACTAGGCTGGCCACCTATTGATCTGACTGGGACAACCAAGCACCTCTGTACACCATACACAATAATAAGGTGAGCCTACCAACAGGCATCCACCTTGGTGCTATGATGGAAAAAACAAGAACACATAAAACCTTCTTTCATTGATAACGTTTCTCATCTTTTTTCCTTCTTTTCTCTTTTACTTGAATTCTCCCTTTGATTTTGTTTCTCTCCATTAAATTTAAAAAATCTAGTTCAGAACATATTTTTCAAAAAAATCAATTGAATTACCATTCAATGGGACTGAAGTTATCTGTTTTCTCTTCAGCTGCTATCCCCTGATAATATTTTTGTGCAACAATTAAGGAAAAAAGATTTTTTTAATGTGCTTAATTGCCAGATAGTGCCATATTAATGAAACAGACAAAATAAGCAACTTGACCTTGCTTCTGAAAATCTGATAGCATTATATGTAGACCATGTAAATTATAAGGCAAAATAAAATACCTACTATTGGTGGTGAACTGGCAATGTTTAGCTTTTCCTCCTTGTCTGCATTTTCTGGATCAAATAACCATAATTTTATAATCTGACAAAAAATAAAGATTAGAATTACAGAAGAAGAGCTTTTCATTTTCATGAAAAATGCTTTTTAAAATTTTTGTAATGATATATAATTATTAAAACAAGTAATTGTATTTGTTTAGTTAACAAGTTGAAATAATTTTATTACTATTAGAAAATAGATTAATTTTCCCAAACAGAGTTAATGAGAAAGGGAGTGGGGTTGCTCTGCTTATATACTAATGTTCACAGTGTTCATGGATTTCACAACACAAAACACCTCATCACCAACAATCAACACCCAGATAATCAAAAGGTTAATATCAAGATTAATAGTAGAGCAATAATCAAGAAGTAAACAATATCCCAATCAAAAAAATATTAACTCAGACAAACAAGCTAACAGTAGACAACAGCCTATTCAAGGAACCACCAAGAACACTCTCACCAACTTTGATGGCAAGCCTCTAGTATATAAACAAAGAAAAAATCCCACTCCCTTCTACCATTGATGATGTTACCTAGCTGGGTAATAAAACGTCTGGAACAAAACAACCAAGGATTATACAACCTTAACACTATCAACCACATATTTAAATAATTTAAACAGGGGCTTAAGCTGGAATGGGAGAAGTCTTTTACTTCAGTAAAAGATTTATGAGGTATATGCATGTAGTCCTTTATCAACTCTGAAAGTACAAAAGATGATAGGGAATGAGAATTAATAAGAAAGTCATGGCTTTTGCTAAAACACATGCTAAGATAATCCAGAAACAGAGAGTGATTAATATTCTCTTTACATTTATTGACTTAATTATAATGAACATATTTACCTGAGTTGGACCAGTATCCAATAACCTTGAAAAAAAAATACTCAGTTTACAAAAATGAACATTTCCTACTGAAAATAGACAGTAGCATTTTCAATTCAGAAAAATAGATAATAAAGCCCTGGTTCTGAACACTTGTATTCACAGATTGAAACAAATTATTTGTAGATATAATTTGTGTCAGTTTTTCAACTTTCCCAACTTAATTCTATTAGTAAAATAGACTCTGGAATCTATTATGACTCCTTTATTTTATGATTTACAAATAAAGATGCTTATCTCCTCTGGTGGATGCATTCATTAGGATATTCTTGGCTGCATGCAACAAGGATTATTTGTTGGATTATTATGGGTATCCTTTTAAATTTATATAGTTTGAAGATACCCTGCTGAATAACTTCCCCCAAAAGATGGCTGTTGAATGCAAGCCTGATATTTTCCTGATATTCTCAGCAAGTAACGGTAACAGTGATAATATCACTCTGTATGCTTCTCAATTACAATTGAGAATTATTACAATTATTCCATTCATTTGTGGAAGGAATTTTCAAAAAGGAAATTGAGATTTTTCTTCTACTCCTTGTCCATAGTGTTTAGGATATTTGCCTCCATGCAAAATTTAATATCTATAGTATCTAAAGTCCCTGGGAGAGATCATTTGGAAATCCGGACTGAGATATTGTTAGTATGGGATATCAGACTATTCTGCCGCTACATATTTCTAAACAAAGAAAATGATATATCTTTTACAACAGAGTCAATCAGATCATGAATGAATATTTACTTCAAAAAATCTCCTAGTATCTGCCAGCTGCACCAGAAAAAGGCATAAAAAAGTCTCTGCTGTGGAAGTATACAAAATATATATGCTAAACAAAGTAACATATGTTACCATTTTTTTTCTTTATTGAGTAAACCTAAGAGTACAAAAGAGAGAGAAATAAAGATACAAAAGGCAGAATGAAAAATAGAACATAAATAAAAACCATTATGAAGGAGAATTTGGTACATATTCTCCCATTTAGTTCCATTATTCCCCTAACCATAACCATTACAGGTAGTCCTTCACTTACAGTCACGTAGCGATTGTTCAAAGTTATGACATAGCTGAAAAAGGTGATTTATGATCCAGATCAGAAATTCTTATGGTTGCCCCCCATCATGTAACTGCACTTCAGGCGCATGGCAACACAGTTGCTTTAATGACTGTTTGTGGCATCCCAAGGTCATGTGACTGTTTTATGACAATTTTGCCAAAAAAACGGCACTTCCAGTTTTCAGTAAAACAACACACATAGTAAACAAAGGCTTTGCATTTACAATTGCTGTATTTGCTTAACAAACCAATGTGCAATTACGACCACTGCAAAAAAGTTGTGAAATCCGGATAGTCCATGACCAACCTTTTACAATTGTCATAGTATGCAACTGTAATATGCAGGCTCCGTTACTGTTGTATGTTGAGGATTGCCTCTACTTCAATATTTAAATTGCTTTTTAATATTTGATATTAAACATTGGAAATGTTCACTTCAAGCTGACCATAAAAGGAAAATGGGTATACATTTTATTATTGATAATAAATAACTCTGTCAATGAGTTATAAGATGAGCAAATTATGTCATAATAAATGTTGGACATTCTAGGTGCTGGCCTAGAAACCAGGAACTGGTGAGTTCTAGGCCTTCTTTAAGTCTGAAGGCTGACTGGGGACTTTGGGCCAGATACTCTCTCTCAGCCCACCCTGCCTCATAGAGTTGTTGTAGTGAAAATAGGAGGCAGGCTTATTTGTCATATTCACCATCTTGAGGGAACCAAATGCATATTAAAAAGATAGAAAAATATAATAACAATAATCTGGTAAATAATAACAATGAATCATACCCTACACCAGTAGTGGCGAACCTATGGCATGAGTGCCAGAAGAGGCACTCAGAGCCCTCTCTGTGAGCACTCACGCCGTGGCCCCAGACCCACTCCCCCCGTGGTCCCCTCCTCACCAGCAGCCCCCCTGGAGGAGAGTCGCCCCCGAGCACAGCCGGTGTGGAGTAGTGCAGCCAAGGACATGGCAGCCGGGCAGCAGGGACAAGACTCTGCTCTTGTGCCCCAACGCACACAGATGATGCTGCGGGGCACGGGCGGAGGGCATGGGCGCCATGGCGCTGCTGGGCCACCTGGGCAATCTGCGGCAGGCTGTGGAGGCAGTGGGTGGGCCTGCGGGTGGGCGGGGTCAGGATGGGGGTGGAGTGTGGATGGAGCAGGAGTGGAGTGGGGGCAGGCGGGGGCAGTTTTTGGGCACTCAGTCTCTAAAAGGTTCACTATCACTGCCCTACACCCTCACAGCAATGTTGAGACTCTACTTTCCAAAGAAAATAGTTGGGTGTGGAATGCTGCAAATACATCAGGTGACTGAAGAAGAAAAAAGAGCTTTGGAAGAATATCTGGAGATGCACTGAAGCTAGTATACCAGGCAGGCTTACTGAATGCTGGAGAGACCAAAATGGCCTACAAGAAGGACCAAATGAAGAACAGAAAAGTGGCATGGAAAGATAAGGCATTACATGGCCAATACATTAAAAAAATAATCAGTAAAGCAGATAATATCAAGACCTGACAATGGCTAAGAGCAGGAGTACAGAAGAAAGAGACAGAGAGCTGCACAAGATCAAGCCTTAAGAACAATGGCATACAAAGCCAGAATTGAGAAGACAGCAACAGACAGTAAATAGTACCTCTGCAAGGAAGCTAAAGAAACAGTGGTTCACTTAGTTAACTGCTGCAAGAAGGTCACACAGATCTTGTTGCTGACTACAAACAAGCTCACAAAGATCTTGATGTTCACTACAATCAATAGCATGATAAAATAGCAAAAATGGTGCTGGAAGATCTGCAAGAAATACTATTTGCCTGCAATTAAGAATTAGTGGGACCACAAAATAGACTAAATAATAAAAAACGAAGAAGCTAAAGTACTCTGGATCTTTAGAATTCCAACAGACAAGAACCTGCCACAAAACACCCTAGATTAAACCATTATTGATAAGAAAGACAACAAAGTCAGGATAGTGGGAAAGTCTGGATAAAGAAACAGCAGAACAAAAGAGAAAGAAGTGGAGAAAATAAATACAAAATACAAAGACCTACAAATAAAAGCAGAACTGTGCAAAGAAAGCAAAGATAGTATCAATAATGCTAAGATGCATAGGTGCAATCTCAAAACTTCTGGAGCACCACTTGAATACCATTGGTATTGACAAAATCTCTATCAGTCAATTGCAAAAGACAGCTTTACTTGGAATAGCTTACATACTACAATGATACCTTAAATATTTTTAAACAATATCATCTGCCTATCCCAGGTCCTTGGCAAGTACTCAATACATAGACTTTTAGGGTTCAGCTTTTTAACATCCAACAGATTTTTATAAATAATGTAAAACATACAAACAAGATATTGTTGAATTTCTTTCTAAAAGCAAACATAATTAAATATTTAAGAAATTATACATTATTAAGTGTTTCCTAAGAGGTAGGAAGATTCTAATTATGGAGCTATGTGTGTGGGTCCATATATGAATTTTATTTAATAAATATCTAATGTAACTATCTAAGAAGAGTTTAAAGTCCATATTTGAAAATGCATTTAATTTACTGTAGATGTTTATTGAATTTGCTACTATTAAAGTTGTTTTTGTAATATTTTGAGATTTGTTCTACAATAGTTTATATTTTCGTATTGCATCTTGTAATTTAAAACCTGGATTAATAATGTGTTGTTGATGGAGTTCACCTCTGCAGAGGAAGGGACTGGTTTCCTGGGATAGCATTAAGATCACAGGAAGTGATAGCATCACTTTATACTCTTTATTTGTACACTTTATACACTTTATTTGTGAGACCGCACTTGGAATAATGCAGCTAGTTCTGGTCATCATGATTCAAGAAAGATGCTGACGCTCTAGAACAGAGGTGTCAAACTCGCAACATCAAGTGATGTCTTGCGACGTATCGTGATTTTTTTCCATTGCCGGCAATGGGGTGGGCGCGGTTTTGGCATGACGCATCTGGCCCTCGGACTGGCAGTTTGACACCCCTGCTCTAGAAAGAGGGCAGAGAAGAACAACAAAGGCAATAAGGGCTCTTGAGGCTGAATGATATGATGAATGGCTAACGGCTGTCACAGGGAAGAGGGCATTGATTTATTCTCCATAGCAGCTGAGTGCAAGACAAGAAGCAATGGATGGAAGCTCATTAGAAGAGATTCAATCTGGAAATAAGGAGGAATTTCCCAGCAGTGAGAATGATTAATCAGTGGAACAGCTTGCCTCCTGGAGTTGTAGGTGCTCCATTGCTGGAGATTTTCAAGAAAAGATTGGATAACCATTTGTTTGGGATGGTATAAGGCCTCCTGCCTTAGACAGGGGGATGGACTAGAAGACCTCCAAGGTCCCTTCCAGCCTTATGATTCAATGATTCAAGGAACAACAAAGGAAAACAGTAGAACTCAGGAAGGGCTTTCATGCATTTTCCTTCAAATATCAGGATGGTGTTTATAGTGAAATATTGCCTGAATTTTTAATCTTTCAGCAAGAACAATAAAAAATGAAAATAAAAAGGGAAAAAAACGTTAACATAGGTTTATATATAGGATCTTCAAGGATTTAAACTCAGGCAAGTATTATTAATTGGTATTCATTCATTGTTAACCCTAATAATTGAGAGACCTCCATATATCAACTCATTTCCTAAAGGTCTGGAGTTAGAGTTATACAGGGGCTGCAAGTTCCTTTTCAATAGGTTTCTTATAAGTAGCTTGTAGCTTGTAAAGCAGAGCACTTCTTGTAGTGAAGGTTCTCTAAAAATGTAGTACCAGTATCACCAAGCAGCTGAATGAAAACACCTTCCATGCCAAAACACATTTTGCTCATGCTGAACGTGCACTTATTTGGAAAGGGGGTTCATGAAGCAGATAAAGCTTTGAGGTTGGTAGCTGAACATTTATTATGGAAAAGAACAAACAGATGATTGCAGAATTCATTGAAGGAGACTCCCAAAGCATCAAGACTTTGGAAAGAAACTAAAGACCCACTAGAAAATTGGTTGGTTCCAGGAGGAACTGAAGCAACTGAAGACTCCATGAAGAGGAACAGTGGCTGAGTATTGAAGCAATAGCTTCAACCATGGTCTGAATGCCAAGTAACATGGGGACAAGGTATCAAGAGACATTGGCTTGTTTAACCAATGATAAGTGGAATTACCAACAGAGGTATCAATTCTCCTATCAACAGCAGAGAAACTACAGCAATCAGAGAGAGGAGAGACCAAATGACCATCCTGTTGGGCAGTAAACTCCAAACAAGGAAGTCCACCAGCTGAGATGTTGCAATGGTAGCTAAACCTGCCAGAGCTATGAGTAGCTAACTGGCAGTAAGGCGAAGATAGAGAGAAATCCTCTATTGGTGTCTCTACATGTATCCCCGTACACCAGCAGCTTGTTAGTGATGTTCATTGCAAGAGGAGATGAGCAAGAAAGTGGAAGAAAGCTAATTAGTATATCCCATGGTAAGGTGACCCAGAAGAGGGGCAAGTCTGCATCCTCATTTAGCTTTCTGTAAGAAAAAAAAAGACAGAAATTCTCATTTTGAATCTCTTGTCAACTCTCTAAAGAAAAATGGCCTCTGATGGAGGGAGGGAGGGTTAGAGAAGTTTCCGCTTCTCATAGAAAAGTTCTGGGAAGACATCCAAGGTCAAACCATCTGGTTAAACAAAATGCCAGGTGCTGTGTTGGAATGATGCCCAGAGGGTAAAACTGAAAACTGGAGATCTAGTTAGAAAAGAAAGGAGCGTGAAAGAAGGCAATATCTTTCCTTCATCACATTTTTTGTTAAGCCTAGAAAGGCACTTCTATATATTTGAAACAAATACATGAAAATGAAAAATGTAGGTAAAATATATATTCAATGGTAGTTAGCAGCACTAATTCAATTCTCCTAGTGACAGAAGTAACATTCAACTAAAATGTAATTAAAAATAATAATAACTAGTTTTTATATTGGACCATTATGGGAATAGTTAAGATTTCTTACAATGATTTCAGTTAGTCCTAAATATCAAATTTATATTCTCACTCGTAAGTATATTTTTCTTCTTCTATTCAATCATGTCTGATTCTTGGAGACTGCCTGGAGATGTCCCTGCAGTTTTCTTGGTAAGATTTTTCAGAATTGGTTTGCTATTGCCTTCTTTCTGGGGATGGGAGAAAGTGACTGGCCCAAATCACCCAGTTGGCTTTGGGCCCAAAGCAGAAACCCAACTCCTATTTTCTAGCCTGACGCCATGGACCATTAAGGAGAGATTTCTTTCAATGTTTTCAGTTATTCCTAAATACCAAATTTATATTCCCATTCATAAGTGCTACTACATGACATTTATAAACATAAATCTGATTTAGGCTCCAAAGAAAAAGTATTAAATATGTTATCTTGAAATGATTGATTTTTAAGCAGTCTGTTGAAGTCAGCATAATTGCTGATGGGTAAAAAATACAGTTGCAGAACTCTAGCTTCAAAACAGCAGCCATAGTTGAAGATATACAAATAGAAAGAAGTGCAATTGTGTGGGTAGTTTTTACCTGTTTTCATCTTGATAAATGTACCATGAGAAACAATTCACATCTGCATTGATAGATAAGTAGCGTTCCTCATCATCAGATGCCTATAAAGGAAAAATACAAATTATTTCTTTTTTTCATAGTATCACAGTTATTCAAGAAGTTTCTTATGCACAGCTATGGATATAGTTTTACATATTTGTAAAAATAACTGGCTTGGATGAAGGTATAAAATACAAAATAATACTTGCATATGATGCAAAACCTGAAGAAGTGACCAATCCAAGAAAAAAATCAAAAAGTCGTAACAGGCTAGAATATAAAACCAAAACAAATCAGAGAACAATATAGGGTTTTATAATAAATATGGGGAAGAGTTACGTTGGGAGCAAAACATCTGAAAATATTCTAAATTCTGCTTCTTATGACTAGTGGCTGGTGGCTTGAGGGCACTCCCTTTCCCTTGCTAATCTTTTAGCATCTTTAGATGCTAAATCTTTAGATTTTTTAAATTTGATTCTTACTTTTAACTTGTAAATTTAACCTTATTATTTATTTTGTTTTTAACAGTGCTTTTAGTCATGATTTATGTTATCACAAAGTCTAGTAAAAACCTAGTACTACTGATTCCACCTTGGGAGAGTGGAAAATTTTTTATGTATGGTCATAACTGGTGAAAAATAAAATGAGAGTGGGGAGTTTCTACAGAATGCTATACTTCATCTCTGGGCTAGCAGCAAAGCTAACCTAACCCTAAATTCCAGGATTGTTTTGATCAAAAACTAATCCCATTTATTGTCAGTGCTGATTGGATTTAACTAGAACACCTACATCTCTTTCATCATCATCATCATCATCATCATCATCATCATCATCATCATAATAATAATAATAATAATAATAATATTCCTGCTCAGGCAGGAAACCCTACACCATTTCGGACAAATGATTGTCCAGTCTCTTCTCAAAAACTTCCAGTGTTGGAGCATTCACCACTTCGGGAGGCAGGTTGTTCCACTGGTTAATTGTTCTAACTGTCAGGAAGTTTCTCCTTAGTTCTAGGTTGCTTCTCTCCTTGATTAGTTTCCATCCGTTGCTTCTTGTCCTGCCTTCAGGCGCTTTAGAGAATAGCTTGACTCCCTCTTCTTTGTGGCAGCCCCTGAGATATTGGAACACTGCTATCATGTCCCCTCTCGTCCTTCTCTTCGTTAAACTAGACATACCCAATTCCAGCAACTGTTCCTTATATGTTTTAGCCTCCAGTCCCCTAATCATCTTTGTTGCTCTTCTCTGTACTCTTTTTTACATCGTGGTGACCAAAACTGGATGCAGTATTCCAAGTGTGGCCTTACCAAGGCATTGTAAAGTGGTATTAACACTTCACGTGATCTTGATTCTATCCCTCTGTTAATGCAGCCTAGCACTGTGTTGGCCTTTTTGGCAGCTGCAGCACACTGCTGGCTCATATTTAAGTGATTGTCCACTAGGACTCCAAGATCCCTCTCACAGTTAAGTACCATCCATTCTATTCCTGAACATTTGGTTTTTCTTGCCTATGTGTAGCTTACTTTTCTTACTTTTCTTACCACTGAATACCATTTTTTATTTATTACAACTGAAATGGTGGAACAAGGCAGTAGATTTTTTTTGTTTGAAATCTAGAGTTCTTCACAGAAAATTATAACTTGTAAGTAATGTAGCTGACATTCACAAACCCAGCCCAATGCTTTCAATGTATTTTCCCATCTTGAGTGACCATGTAACTCCAGCTAACCCAGCTAACCAGTCATCTACCATTTCGTTAATTGCTACCCTGACTCCAATGCCAGATAGAATTTGTCTATAATCTTTAGGTGGAGAACTTATATTCTTCTGTACCTGTACCCAGATCTTGTATCTCCACCATGATCCTCCAAATATTGGAGGTGATGTGCATCATCTGCAGTTCTGCTTTCTGCAGCTGAGCCACTATTTTTATTTGTCATTTTATTTCTTAATACATTACATACAGTATGAGATTACCAGCTGAATCAGGTGTGTGAAACTAATTGATTAATTCACATTGAACACCTGACTGTCCAAAGCAAACATCTCAATCATGTAAAAGTTAGTGGGTGTTGGCAACCTGTTTGTAATTGACAACCTGTACATCCAAACTCTACATCATGCCATTCATGAAGTCTGTCTACATTTCTGATTACTGAGTGGAAGGGGAAAAGTGGGGTAGGTAAGACTGGGAGAAGAACTGCTATGTATTCTGCTATTTGAGTTTTCTCTATCTGCTCTTAAAAGACGAAAGTTGGGGTTACTTTTTCAAGTGCATCAGCCATGATGTGTTTTCCTGCTTACTCACATATTTTCTGCAATGAATGCATAACTTGATCTGCTGCCATTTTAAAATGATCCCACTTAATGCTGCTTGGCTTTGTTGCAACTTATTCAAAAATGTTGCTTGACCTGGGCTATCTCCTCTTTCACTGGAATAAGGGAACATAGGTGGGAACACTGGATGTTTCCACTTCTGTTTCCTTGTGCTAACAGTGGAAATGTTGCAGTTCACTCTTCAGATAGGACTATTACCATTGTTGTTTCCAAAAAGATGCCTATCCTCCATCACTAGTTCTACCGTTGTCAGTAAAAAAAACTTCAAGCTCAAATAAAAAAGCTGTAAAGTTGTCCTCCCCTTCTTCTGCAGCATGAATTTGTGACTGCCAATTCAGTAGCATTGAAATGGTGAGATTCATAACCTACTACTGCCTGCTTTCTCTGAATAAAGCAGAGATCTTTTAATAAGATATTCAGGACTATCTCAGCCACCAAATAATGGCCATTTATTTTTGAGGACAGCAGAACTTTGTTAGCCATTATAATAAATAAATATAACTCTACACCGTCTTCTCATTTCTTTCATTCCAGAGCCTTTGGTTCATCACAAAAACACAATATAGTTATATAGTCATATATGTGTTAATAGTATTTTGAAATAATTGAGAACTTACTGGAACTGTAACTGGTTGAATCCTATGAGTACCAGGAACTGAACAAAACAGCATTGTTGATGGTTTCCTAAAGCAATGGGGAGGAATCATAATTAAGTGATTAGCACATAATTACTTATAAGAGGATATTTGCCTGATATTTTGCTAAATTCCAATATTGTAACTAATGTAATTACAGAGTGCCTCCATCTGTCCTGGAAGTAAGGCTATTTTATAGCATTCTGCAATTTTGTGGAATTACAGTATAAAATATATGTATAGAACTTCACTCATTATACCTGGTTTTTCAGCTTAATATGTTGTGTGAACTAACTATTGTTTCTTTTATACTATGGTTTAAATGGATTATGTTGTGTTTATTCAATAAAACATATTTTAAAAAATCATCTGCCCTGTGTAACTGCAAAAACACAGACTAGATATATTAGGCATTTTTGCCTAATATAATCACCCACTGTTTTAAATATCTCTTGAGTATTTAAAACACAGCTAATAAGGAAATAGTGGGGAAATTAATGAAAAATATTGGGGAATGCTCTCACTTATCTCAAAAAGAAACAAAAATGTGCTTCTAGTTTATGGAAGAAAGGCTTCAATGCCATGATCTGCATATTGATTCACACAATTAGTTTAAGCAAACGATCGTCTAGTTTGTTTATTATAAAAAGTAGGGTAACTCATATCTACCTTGTATCCTTTTCTTAGAGCTGCTTTGTTTAGAATTAGATGTTTAAAAAAGAAATGATAGCTGTCATATCACTTTTATAATCTTTGTTATACTATAGTTAGTAAATTATTAGGTGGAATTAATACAAAAGTAAAAAGAACTACTGCACAAAATATCCCTCCATTCTATAAAGCTCTGAGGTTTCTTACTACTGGTAAAGGATCAATATGTCGTCCTCTCTCTGCCTCAACAAACAGTTAGTTATAACAACTTATTACATTTTCAAAAGTCAAACAGTATTCTCTCTATAACCTGTTTCTTTGTAGTACGTTTTTACATATTCTGTAATACTTACATTGCATCATATACTGCACAAAATGATGGAACCTCCCATCTTGAAAATGTGGTTCCTTCATATTCTAAATATATCTAGATAAAAAAAGAGAACATAGAAATACCCAGTAAAACATATAATTGATATAAAAATATAGAGATCATATCAATAATGGAGATTTGTGCATTTAAAACTAAAAAATGATGGTTTTAGAGTGGAGAGGTAGTGGTGGTGGTGGCTTCTCTGTTACTACACTAGCCACCTGCAGTCAAAACATTCTCCTTTAGTGCCCCATGCCAACCCTATAGCCAAGTTTTAAGGCATTTCCCGATAACCAGAAACATGGAGGCAGATCTTATCTCCTGCGGCAAGATGTTCCAAGGACAAGGGCCATCCAAAAAAAGGCTCTTCCCCTGAACCCCACCTGTTGCAATTCCTTGGCTGATGGGGTCTCAGTTGGACTTTTCTGCCAGCACAATTGGGTGGCCAATTCCATTGGGGCAAGACAGCTCCTTTGATATCCCGGACCTATGCCACAAAGGCTTTAAAGGTAATGACCAACACCTTGAGTTGGGCCCGGAAGCAAATCAGGAACCAATGCAGCAGTGTAACAGCAGTGTTGCATGTGCCACTCAACAGACACCCAGAACTGTCCGTGCTTCTGCATTCTGTACCACTGTAGCTTCAAATATTTTTCAAGAGTTACCCCATGTAGAGCACATTGCAGTAATCCAACTGAGAGATGATCAGGGCCCCATGGTTCAGGAACAGGTGCAACTCACGCACAACACACAAAATTGCGCAAAGGCTTTCCTAGTCACAACTGGCACCTGCTCTTCGAGCAGGAGTCATAAGTCTAGGAGAACCCCCAAGTTGCAGACCTGGGATAGTGCCACCCCATTCAGAACTAAAAAAAGTTAAACCTCCAGATTCTGAGGCTCTGCCTACCACAGCCCACTCGATTATCCAGATTCAGCTGTAGCTTGTTTTCCCCCATCTGAGCCCCTACAACCTTCAGGCACTGTGACCGGGCAGTCACAGCATCACTTGGATAACTAGGGATAGAGATGTAAAGCTGAGTGTCATCAGCATAGTGATGATATTTTATTCAATAGTGTCAAATGATCTTACCCAACAACATCATGTAGATTTTAAAAAGGAGCAGACAGAGTACTGAGCCCTTATGGCAGCCCACAAAGGAGTGGCTATGGGCTGGACCTCTCACTTCCTATTAACTGATTGTGGAGAAAAATCAAACTAGCAAAACACTGTACTGCCAAGTCCCAAACCTCGCAGTCAATCCAAAAGGATACCATGGCCAATGGTATTAAAAGCTTCTGAGAGGTCAAGGAGGTGAGAATGTCTTTTCTTCTTTGCCAATGTGGCAAAGATGTAAGATTTCCAGCATTATCTGAAAAATTATTGCAGAAGAATGATGGGTTGTATTTTTTAAACACTTTCTGCATATTTGAAGTTTCACTGAAATCAAAGGAAGGTAGTTGCTTAATTGCACATTAATAAAACATGGCTGATTTGCATAGCTTTTCACACAGAAGTTTTCTAAGATTCTATCCATTAGTAAACCAATAGTGGGTGCATTTCACATATTAAATATCATAAAACTGTATACAAGATTAAACATACAATATATCAGAAAATAATTAATTCATTCTACAGTTTAATATCTGGCATTATGAAAGCATTTACAATCCACAGTATCGTAATGATGTAACATTAAAACAAGTCACAAATTCTGTTTATACTCTGGTCTCTAAATTAATTGTGAAATGAAAGTTTAGCCCAAAACTGTATTAAACTGATAAAGTGATGGATATATTCCAGAAAAAATATTTATAAATATATAAAATCATTAATATACTCTCATATATTAGTACAATAAGCTGCAAATGAATAACAGTTTGGTCTTTTGTTACTGATACTATAGCAGTTATCCCCCAAACAGCCAGTGCAAATATAAAATTGGTGTCTTAATACAAATTATGTACAATATATTTATTACACTGTAATTATTGTTCAATGAAATTTACAAAGCCTTAACTAAAGATGGCAACATATTTTAGAAAATTACAAATATTAACTCAATACATAATGCAATATATTTTGAACCCATTACATAAAAATATATATTTCAATGAGGTAACCCAGGTAGAAACAGCTTATGATATATATATTTATATGGTTTTTGACAATAAACACTTACAGTAGTTCTTGTAGAAAATATCATGTATGTTCCAGTGCTTGTTCTATACCTGGAAGTAAAATAAAGAAAAGTTTTCCAATAATTGTTAATACTTGCATCTTGCATTCTACTGCCATTCATATGTTAGTTATGAATTATTCAGATTATTCATTGTTTGGCTGCCTAATTTTCTTAAATACAAAACAGGGACAAATTTATCAGGTTAATAATATTGGAGAAAGTGGTATTTCATTCTTTCTAAGCCAGTTCTTTGATCAAATTACTTTTGGATTCTGTTTTTTAAACTTTGGAAAACAGTAATTTGTAGTATTGGTCTTTCTCTCCAGATCTAAACAAGTGCCATGAAAAATCACCTGAAAAAGTAGTTGAATGGTCCCACTCAGGCAGTCACATCTTCAGTTCAATTTTGCCATTCTCCAGAAGATGAGTTTAAATTTTAAAGAAGTCAAAATATTCCATTCATGAGCTTCCACAAAACAAATAACTGGGCCTCAGCTACATTCATCAAATCCCCCTCTAATAGTATTTATTTTTGGTTCTATTAAAAATGGGGAGCCATCATTTCACTTCAGAAAAATGTATCTCATGCAGAAATAAAGCATGGAGCCAAAAAGGACACACACATTGACAACTAAAATAACTACAGTACCTTATGACTTCAATCAGTCAAGTGGAATAATGCCATTCTAGGGGAAAGGAAGGGAATACAAGTATCAATAGAGGAGAATATATGTAGCTCAGGGTTGAAATGAGGGGACCTTGATGCTCTCTTGCTTGTTTTCTTGCAGACATTTCATTATTCAAACTAGGTAACATCATTGGTGCTACCGGTAGTACAGAATAAGGTTTGCTCTCATTTTATATTCTAGTGACTGCCCTGTTAGGGTTGGTGGGAGTGGTCTTGGTGGCTCTTTGGTTGGGCTGTTTACTGTTAGCTTGCTTGGCAGATCCTTGTTTGGGTATTGTTTACTTCTTGATTGTTGGTCTAATCTTAATCTTGGTGTTAATTTCTGCTCATATGGGTGTTGATTGCAGGTGGGAATTACTTTAGGCAATACAGAAAGCCTTTATTAAAGGGCTGTCAAGTTTTTAAATAGGGTACGGAAACAAATTATACATGCAAAATGTCACAAAGCAACAAATGATACAATCAGACACCCTTACAATATGTTACATCTTTTCTTTTCCCACCAGAGTTTGTTTCTTTAACCCTTGCAATACTCAAGGACTTCAGAATTTTGTTTGATTGAAGTCCCTGAAAGGCTAGTTTTTGAACATCAAAAGAAGTGGCTTTGGTTCAAAGGAAACCATGGTTTCCTAAACTTCAAAAGGAGGCATGGATGCCATGTTAAAATACTACCATCCCCTTTATTAAAATGCAAAAATTTTACGTAAAAGATAGTGAACATATTTTCTTGGAAAAAGAACAAAAGACAAACCTGAAAGAAGTTCATAAAGATAAAAAAATTATAACTTTCGTTTACAAAGGAAAATTCAAGATCAAAACCAAAGAAAATAATTAAATTACATAAATACAAACGGGCATATATGGAATAAAAATGAAATATAAAGGACTGTTCTTGAAAATAATGGATGTATGGTCACTGTAGACGTAAAGCCAAAAAAAAAATTACTAGTCAGCAGTGAGGGGACCCTTTTTGTCCTGTGATATGAAAAAATGTAAATTCTCCGGGTTTTATTCGCCACCCCGGGACGAAATAATTTGCTAGTTGTATTGAAAGTTTTTTTTTTTAAAGGGAGGAGTTAACCCTCTTTAATGTGCAATCTTTCAATTTATTTTTTTTTTAATTTTTTTTTAATACAGTACACATTCAGCAGACTGTCATTTTTATATACTATGGATCTACATTCCATACAATATATACACTATGTACATTCAATCTAACCCACAATAACCTAATTTACACAATAACCTTATGTATATTTCCAATTTTTATTTCTATTGTCTATCCAATTATACCAATTTTCCCAAAATTGCACATTACAATTTGGACTAGAGAAAATACTTTTCAATATGTTCCGTGTTTTTTTTGTTTTTAGAGCAGAGTCGCATTCTTGGAACACAACGCCCATTCTGGAAGGTTGACGCTCGCCTTACTTTTCCTTATCACCCCCTTCTCTCACCTTCCCCCTGAATCTCCCACAAGCCCCACCTCCACACCGCCCCGCAACCGCTCCACCACAGGCAATCCAGCAGCAAGGGCAGGATCAAAAAAGCCGGCCATCGGAGCTGCGCAAGAAACATCTCAGGCACTACCAACAACCGCCGCCGCCGCCGCCGCGCGCTCTCCCCCTCGCGGCTCAGTTAACGCTTCAACTCAGCAGCGTTCGGAAGAAACTAACAGCAACTACGCTTCCCGGGATGCCCAGCGCCTCTAAGCCGCGGCGTAGCTCGCCGCGTAGCTTCCTGGGAAGTGTAGTCCCTTCTATGGAGGCGCTCGAAGCGGCACGTTTTTTAGACTATGCAGATGAGGAGGCAAGTCTTCACATCGGCTCACTCGGGGCTATCCAAGGATGACCAATAGGCGGCGGGCAGCGCAGAAGCGAGATGCGGCAATGGAGTAGAGCTCTGCGTGAAAAGGCGGGGAAGAAGGCGCCTTCGCCGGCCTGGATGGGGGTCACCTTGACTCTTTTCTGCGGCAAGTGCAGAAAATGGGTGGAGGAAAAATAATTAAAGCGCCTTCGTGGGCGTGGTCTTTCGCGCCCAGAATTTTCTATCCTAATTGTAATGCTTTGTAACACTTACTAATCCGGTCTCTCGCTTAAGCAGCAACCAGTTGATTTATGGGGCTTTCTTCACTGATGAATTCCGACGCGATCAACCCTTCGCTTGCTGGGAAACGCAGCTGACGTTAAGCATTCTGTCCTCGGACCTTATTCATATTTTGCCTTCCTTTTTCTGTGAGCCGCCTGCCAAATGGGGCTCCGCCGATTTTGCAGCGGTGGAGACTGTGATAAACAAAAGTGGTTACAGTTGTTGACTCTTCTAGCTTTGCTGCACCTCATTGGACACATTGCCAGCCCTGGGGAAACATTTGCTAGTCGCTGTGGCTCAAAAAAGATGGGGCAGATCTCCAGGTGTTTTCCTCTGCCCCTTTTTCTACTCTTGTCATGGTCAGAGTGAAATAAAATAATAATATACTAGCGTCAGGAAAACAGCTTGCTTCTTTCCTCTCTTTTTCTTTAGATCAACAAATGCTAACTTCCAGATTCCTCCCTGTTCTGGCCAAGGGCAGGGACTGACCCCATCATTTCAATGCTGTTTCAGCCTGTAATGACATTTCATTACTGTAGTGTTCAATCTGTTGCACTATTTCAACTCCTGGCAAGCAGTTTTCTTGTATATTTCACGTGCCCCTATGCCCATCTCCTTGATGGGACAGCAGCAGAACAACATGAAACGAGGCTGACTGGGCTAGAGAAGCCTGCATCAGCCTGGAAGGGTCAGTAAAAGTCTCTGTTTCCACCTGGCAACCCATACAGTTTTGAACATCCTACAATTGTTGGANCATTACAGTTTCTAGGTGGTGTAATTTTCAGTACTACAGATGACCCTTAGTTAGGTTGATTCTGGGTACAGTTTTATGCATTTTGCTGCATATGTTCCCTAAATGTCTTATGTGTTCTTCCCATTTTGGGTTATAAGCACAATTTAGAATAAATAGACAGTGTATTCTGGATAAGCCTCTGAAATGTACTAGGAGCTCCACATAGTTTAAAAGAAAATAGCACAGTCTGTAAGCACAGTATGTAAAAGTATTGCAAAAGTCCTGAAAGTGGGGACGAGGGGATTCTGGGAGTTGAAGCCAAGCTGTCTTAAAGTTACCAAAGGTTGGGAATCTCTGCTGTGGAATCTGAAGGAGCAGGGCTTAAGCATGGGTGAATTTAGGCAAATGGGAGAAACCCACACCCACTTCAAACAATGAAGAACAAATAACAGATCACAAACAACAGAAACCTCTTAACTTTCTTTTAATGGGCTCTCAACTAACCCAAATCACAGTGCACAAAATGCAGGCAACACTTATACACACACGCAGAAATGAATAGTGGATGCTGGTGTGACCAGAGTTTGCATTCACTTTTTCAAACATTTTTATTACTACAAAAATAAATAGAAATATATTAATTATATAAAACATAATGTTATTATATTATATTAATTATAATACATTATATTAATAAATAGGAAATAGGCTATACAAATTATAAATAATAAAGGAGGTGTTGAATAGCTATCCCATTTAGCAACTAACTTGATTTTGTTGCATTTATTTATTTATTATATGACACATTTGCATCCATCACATTTCAACAACAAAAAATCGATTTTGTTGTATGCCTGCACAGGACTGCATCTCACCATTTGATTTTGTTGCTGATAACAATAGAGGTACATCATTCACTGTCACAGAGTTCAGTCACTTCCATTTAGTACAATCTACCTCTCTCTTTGTCTAACACTTTTTGGATCCTCTCTGGAATCTGATAGATAGAACATAGCCATTCCATAGGGAAGTACACTCCTTTTGATTCTGCTACAGATTTCATCAGCCTTTACCACCATCTACCATGGTATTTCTTTGGAATGCGTGGGATTGGAGGTACTGTTCTGAAGAGGATCTACTCCTTCTGTGGATGGTTGTGGTTGGTTGGTTGGTTGGTTGGTTGGTTGGAAAGGGGCGTTGTCTTACCTGAACGCCTTTTCTCAGCACGGAGATGGAGGATCCACAGAATGGGTGGAGACTGTATTCCTGCCCAATCAGATCAAGTCAGCCAAAGTTGTCACGCCCCGTCCTGGTTCCATTTCCCAGTCTTGACGCGAGCGTAGCCATTGACTGACCAAGAACGTACTGGCTCACAAACTAATCCTAG